GCTGTTGCAAACGTGCAGTGGGTCAGAAAACCTGACCTACGCCCAGTTAGAGGAGCAGAGACGTCCCTTAGTGACGATGGGCACCGGGGACATGGGATCCTTCCCAAAGATGTCCCCTGCACGTTGCCATCAACAGAGATTTACACATTAAATCCGTACAGATTCAGTCCATACAATGCATATTGAACTTCATCCGCTCGGTGGCTGGTGGGTCTTCTCTCGCTTCTGATGCGAATCAGCGCGCAGCCTCTGTCGTCGTCTTCCGTTGTTCCCTTGGGAGCAGGGGGTATAATTTGGGTGGGTGGTCCCTGAGTCGGAGGTCTTGACCACTCCTCGAATGGACCCTGTGGGGTCAAGGAAGACGTCCCTGGCTCGCAGGCTCTTGGCTCGTACCTGCTTTGGTCACGATTCAAAGATTATACACAGCGGGTACCATCCTGAATCCTGTCCTGCAGGACTACAACAGACTGTCCTTGTTTCTGACCTCTAACAGCTCATTGGTTAATGGATTCCTTAGGTCTGGAATTTTACAGGGCTATGCCAGCAGCACTGGCAATACAGATTTTATTTTATATTCAATCATTTATTCTATTTGAGGCTGATCTACCCCAAATTATCACTAGTCATCCCTACTAATATCCATTAATTAGAATTCTTGATATTCAAATCCAAATAAGAGGGGTGAGGGGTTTTCAAACAGCATCACTGGTGCATAACAGGTTTCAAGCTTCTCTAGTTTCTAAACCGCAGTCCCCCGGTGACGTTTCTACGCTTACAGATTTCAAACCACGCACAGTTCTAACATTCTAAATCTGATGGTTTTATGCAACAAGACCTGCCTGAATTCCTTAAATCACCAGCGAGAACGTGAGGTCTGTTACAGGGTCGGTTACGGACTGGGCCAACCCCTCCGAGGGTTTCTGCCCTCCCAGGCGCCTTCAATCCGGGTGGGATGTGGACGCTGTAGAGGGGTTTTTCCAGTCTCAGGCAGCTCTACATTGGGGCTGTGATTGGGAAATTCTTTTTTTTAACTGGGGTCTAGATGGGAGAAATGGGAGTGCAGGTTTGTAGCCTCCCTCTTACTGGGGTGGGGCGTCGCTGCCAGGAGCTGCTGCCCAGGAACACCCCCCCTGATCACCGTGCCCCCTCTGGGAGGTGAACTGGTGCCGCAAACACAGGCAGTTCCACCCTGAGGGAACCAGGAAGGGCAGGAATTTCCCAGATCCGTGGGGGTAACTTCCATCCATACCCTACAAGACTTTTTTCCAGTGCTGTTTTTCAGCAGCAGGAGAATTTCTGCTCCGTTTGGGCTGAGAGGGTGCCGCCTCCTGCCCCAGAATAACCCAGCACTCCCGTATCTCTTTTCCATTTGAAACACTCCAGCTGATAAGCGCCAGAGCCATGGAAATGCTTCTTTTGGGCCCTGAGCACAAATTCAGTCACTGGTAACACCTTGTACTCGCCCTCTGCCCCCTTTGTGTCCCCTTTTGCTTCAGCCAGGGGCATTTTGGTGCCGGAGACTTCGTTATCCTGGCCTGCTGCATTCCCCTTTCTGCTCAGAGCACCCACTGGTGCTTGAAAACGACTCCTTAGCGCCTGATAGTTCTTATCTCTGCCATTCCTGAGCTGATAACGTGTGACTTGGGCCTCAGGGGGGTAGCAGGGGGGAAGCTCTTTTGTGGCTGTGCTGCCTGGGCGGCTCCTGTGCTGCACCAGGGGGGTAAATCCTTCCTCTTCTCCCCCACGCTCAGGTTTTAACCAAGAAGAAATTGCAGGACCTGGTGCGTGAGGTGGATCCCAACGAGCAGCTGGATGAAGATGTGGAGGAAGTAGGTACCGACCCAGGGCAGGGGCTGCGAATTTGGGGTTTTTCACGGACTGGTGGCCTTTTGTCTGAGGCGGGGGCGGGGGTTGGGTCACCTCAGCCCTCTGCGTTCTCGTCTTCGCTGCTGCCGTCGCGGCCAAAAGAGTTTTTAACCAGCCATTGCAGCCAACACCTCTGAAGTCCCGGCTTCTGAGGGTTTGGTTTTGTACTTTCCACATCATTTCGGCCACTCAGGACTGATGAGGCTGGTGGTTTGTCCTTGTTCTGCCCCAGATGCTGTTGCAAATCGCCGACGATTTCATCGAGAGCGTGGTGACGGCCGCCTGCCAGCTGGCGCGGCACCGCAAATCCAACACCCTGGAAGTGAAAGACGTCCAGTTGCATCTCGGTGAGTGGGTTTGGAGGCAGAGGGGTGCCAGCACGACAAACTTCTCTCCCCAGTGGCACAGAAACCGGCCCTGCTTTACGGCAGCGCTGGGAAGCACGGGGGGTGGCTTCTCCTGACGTGCTTCAGAGTGACACCAAAACCTCAGCATTTTTATGTCCTTTTTCTGCAAAGTCATGATCTTTCACGTATTTTAACATAAGCGTGCGTGTTATGCCCGCTGTTAATTTTGAAATGATTGGTTCACCCTATTAAATAACTTTGTTAATATTCCTAAACTAATATAATTGGTTATTTTACTGATCAAAATCTGATACACAAATCAGGATGGGGAGGATGGGAGAGTCCTCACAGCAACATTCCTTTGTTTCTATGGTCTCATCCCATAAGAGAATGAGCTGAGAATGCACAATTCCACCCCCTGTACCTGCCTCCCTATTCTGTTCTGCCCAATTTCACCCCCCGCAGCAGCTCTGGCTCTGGCCATCTCCGCAAGGCGGCAGCTGCTGTCTCTGAGCCTCAGGGAGCCAGTGAGGTTTTGTGTATTTCTTACCATAATGTAAATTAACTGAATCAGAAAATAATGAAATACAAGACGTTAGTTGTTCATTAAAAGCAATTAAATTGTTCATTAAAAGCAATTAATTATCAATGAAAAGTAATTATCTATTCAAAATTCAGACCTGATTATAACGATTTATTGAGGGTTTTTTTTTCCCCTTCGGCTGAGAGCTGAAGTCGGGGCACGGCCTCGGTGTTAGAATCAGGTCTGAGTTTGTCCGAGTGTGTCGTGATCGCGCCCCTCCGCCCACAGCGGCCTGGGGGTGGCAGCCTGTGAGTAGCTACGGGTTCCTTGCTGGTGCCTTCAG